TACTTGGGAGGCTGAGGCAGGAGACTTGCTTGAGCCCAGGAGTTGGAGGTTGCTGTGAGCGTGATGCCATGGCACTCTACCCAGGGGAAATAGCTTGAGGCTCCGTCTCAAAAAAAAGAAAAATAGCTGGGTGTTGTGGTGGGTGCCTGTAGTCCCAGCTACTTGGGAAGCCGAGGCAAGATAATTGCTTAAGCCCAAGACTTTGAGGTTGCTGTGAGCTGTGATACCACAGCACTCTACTGAAGGTGACACAATAAGACTCTGTCTCAAAAAAAAAAAAAATTGTCTGCCTTAATTTGACCTTGCTATAATTTCAGCTTCATTTGGAATGCTATTATGGATCGAAACATTGTATTGATAAATTGGTTCTCACCTTGAAGATGCATGTTTAACTCATTTAAATGAGTGGTTAGATCCACTAAACATGCTAAATCTGTAAATGAGTTTTCATAATCAAGTTCAGGCACAAATTTGATTTTTGATATCATAAACAACTTTATAACATGTCGCAAATCATAAAATCTTTTCAACATTTGGGTTTCAACTTAGCCATTTTACTTCTAAAGAGTAAATGATGTCCCCATAGCCAGTATCAACACTGTTAAGGAATTCCTGGAATTGGCCGTGATTCAATCCTTCGGCCTTTATGAAATTCAAAGTCTTGATGACAATTTGCACAATGTTATCCATTTTTAAAGCTTTTGTGCATTGATTTTCTTGCTGTACTATGCAATGATACTTCATCAAATGTGAGCTTGGGGTGACAATTGCATCATCTTCTATTAATTTTATAGGTCCCTCCTTTTACCCACTGTCACCGGGGCACCATCAGTAACTATACCAGATACATTGACAATGGACAAGAAAATACCTTTAACATATTTTTTACTTTTTCTTATAAATCTCTTGATTTAGTTATGTCTTTTAATGGCACTAAAGAGGCCATTTCTTCAGCGACATTGTATTTGTTGTCAATACTGCTGATAAAAATGGCAAGCTGAGCTGTATTGTCACTCATCACCAGAGTGTAACATTTAAAATTAGCAGGTTTACTCTCCGAACTTCTTTGGATAGATTTTCCAATTTCTTCTTTTTGCCTGGCTCTAGTCTGGTGTGACTTTGTCTGCTTTTAGAAATATCTCCCCCTTTTCAGGACAAATTATCTGTGCCATGGTTTCTGTACATAAACTCACCAACAGTAGATGATTTTGATATTTTTCTATTAAATAATGCTACCACATAACTGGCTTTTACAACAGAGTTCAAGTTTTAACTTTTAAAATAAATTTTGTTGAGAAGACAAACTTTTTTCCAGTTCTGTTCTTTTGTCCTTATGATACAATCCTTCATGTCCATCAAATTTGGCAGCAAGGTTTTTGCACAAATTCCCTACAAAGTAAGCAGAGTGCCTTACTTTTTGCCTAGACAAAAAGTTGTCATTTGTCCACTTTCATTGAACAATGTTCTTTCCGCCATGATTTTTCTTTTGGGGGGGCTGGTTTTCTTTTGAGACATGTAGAAGCCATGCTGGGATTAAAAAGATAGTAATGGATAGGCATTATATTTACTTTGATTATCAAAATTAATCAACAGGAAAATAGCAAGGTTTGGGCCCTTCCACACCTTGGCTGCTGATGCAGGGTGAGGTGGAGGCCATTGCAAAGCATGGCAGGCACTGTGTGCTGTGCTGCTGAGGTGTGGAAGGACCTCAGCTATCAAAGACGAAAGCTCTCCTGACTTCTAAATAACATCGAATGCCTAACCATACAAAGATAGGTGGAAATATTATTGATAATCATTGCCTTGCCAAGTTGCCATGAACGCATGTAATGTTGGATGGTGTCAATTTGACTACCCACACTTGGAAGATAACACTGTAAGCTACACCCTGGGTAAAACTGAAGCCACTAGTGTGTACAAATAGTGAGACCATCCATATGTTTATATTATGTGACATTGTGACAGGCATTATCGTCTACAAAGTTCACACTCAAGAACTGTGCAGTTGGCTTGGCGCCTGTTGCTCAGCGGCTAGGGCGCCAGCCACATACATTGGAGCTGGCGGGTTCAAATTCAGCCCGGGCTTGCCCAACAATGACAACTACAACCAAAAAATAGCTGGGCCTTGTGGCGGGTACTTGTAGTCCCAGCTACTTGAGAGACTGAAGCAAGAGAATCACTTAAGCCCAAGAGTTTGAGGTTGCTGTGAGCTGTGACACCACAGCACTCTACCCAGGGTGACAGCTTGAGACATTGTCTCAAAAAAAAAAAAAAAAAAAAAGGACTGTGTGACTGAGTTCCATCAAAATAATCAGAAAAAAACTCATAGTCAAGTTTATCATTTTGTGTTGGTCTGCATTCATGGCCATCCAGGGCTGCATGAAACCCCATGGGCCCTGGAGTTGGACTCTCCTGTTCTAGACTTCATGGGGTAGGGCTCACATGATTGCGTACATTTATCAGAAATTAAACTGGGTACTGAAAACTTGGGCACTTCACTGAACATAAAGTATGACTCAGTGAAGAAAGAAAACAAAACCACAACTTGAACCCCCCACTGTCAGTGTGACAGTCACTTCAGGCAGCTATCGATGGGCAGATGTGACAATTGGGTGACTGGACCCACTTGGGCCCACCAATCTAGAGTGGCAGAGCCAACTGCTAGACATGCCTCTGTCCCCCTGGGAAGGGTCCAGGTGACCAAGAGGAACATGGATTCAATTAAGCACTAGGGCTGAAATCTAAGAAGGAAAGACAGGGCACAGATCAGCCCTTCAATGTCAGCACCGTGACGCAGACAGACAGTAGAGAATGGGGACATTCTGTTGGAGAAATGACATCACAAAGGCACAGAGAATGAGGGATGGGGGAGGGGCACTGCCACATTAAAAGAGACTGAAATGGGGCAGTACCTGTGGCTCAATGGGTAGGGTGCCAGCCCCATATACTGAGGGGTCAAACCCGGCCCCAGCCAAACTGCAAAAAAGAAATAATCAGGCGTTGTGGTGGGTGCCTGTAGTCCCAGCTACTCAGGAGGCTGAGGCAGGAGAATTGCCTAAGTCCAGGAGTTGGAGGTTGCTGTGAGCTATGATGCCACAGCATTCTACCAAGGGCAATAGAGTGAGACTCTGTCTCTCAAACAAAAAAAAAAAAAAAAGAGAGAGAGAGAGAGACTGAAATGACTGAAGATGTTCAGTTCTCATCTGAAACAAATCTATCGGAAGAGATCGCTGAGATTATTGGGCAGATCTGACAATGGACTTCACTCGCTTTGTCAGCGGTGGCACTGTGGGTTTATAAAAAAACATCCTGGCTGCTGAAAAGTGTAGGGATGAAATGATATGTCTCAGTTTTATTTTAAACTAAAAGACAAAAAAGACAAAAGGATAGATGAAGCAAATGTGACAAAATCTTGTTGAAAGGCAAACCTGGTGATGGCCCTATGAGGTCCACTGGCTTCAGTCTCTACTTCTGGGAATGTTTTAATTTTCATAATCATACAACAGAGGTAATGAGGGGAAGAGGGTAAGGGGTGGAAGCCTGGCCTGTGAGGAACAGACTCAGGAGCATGCTTACATCTGCACAACTCTGCAGAGGGTCAGGCTCAGGGAGCATGCTTATATCTGCACACCTCTGCAGAGGGTCAGGCTCCGGGAGCACAGTCACATCTGCACACTTCTGCAGAGGGTCAGACTCAGGGAGCACAGTCACATCTGCACACTTCTGCAGAGGGTCAGACTCAGGGAGCACGCTCACATCTGCACACATGCTCACATCTGCACTCCTCTGCAGAGGGTCAGACTCAGTGAACATGCTCACACTTGTACACTTCTGTAGAAGGTCAGATTGGCTTGTAAGTCCAAGGGCAGAGTGGGGAAAAGGAGGGAGTCCATTCACTCCAAGATGCAGGAAGAATCCCTTTCCCAAGAAGGCTGGGTTGGCTATTTGGTAGTTTTGCCCTTCCCTTGGTCCTTTTCCCTGCCTGGAATCAGATTCATATCTAATCAGGCTCGAGCTGCAGCAGTCATTTTGTGGCCAAGAGACATCCTTGAGGTCCAAAGCCCCAATCCCTTTCTGGTGGAACAGAAATACTTGGGTCCTGGTCACCTCAATGATTTCACTAAACTTCTGTTTGTGGAGGCTCAGGGAACCCTGCACTACCTCCCACATTTCCCACTAATATAGGGAAAAATAAATCCTACTTTATATTCCTGTTATTGCAAGTTTCTGTAACGCAATACCTAATAGAAATGGAAGAATTGCCTTCTACCCTTAGTACTAGAGACGAGGTCTGAGGTTTCCAGGGGCAGAAGGACAATGCTTACCTGCTATTGACTTGGACTGCAGTCTCCCAGCTTGAAGGTTACCTTTGTCTTTCTTTGTCTGTTTCTCTGTTTTGTTTTCAGTGACTGAAGAACTGTTTTTCTTGGATTCTGGGTCATATTCTGGAGAGACACAAAAGTGAGAGCCACAGCAGTGATTCATCTGGCTGTGAGAGCTGTGACACAGTGCAGGGCAGGGAGAACCTACAGACACAGAGGGCTCTAGCCTCTGCATCCTCACCCGCCGGCTGAGCGGGCTCGGCTGGTCACGTTTCCACATCCAAGATGATCATATGGATTAGACTGTGCAAGAAAATCATATGGGATAGACTGTGCAAGAAAATGGCCTTGAGGGTGGCACCTGTGGCTCAGTGAGTAGGGCACCAGCCCCATATACCAAGGGTGGTGGGTTCAAACCCAGCTGGGTGTTGTGGCGGGCACCTGTAGTCCCAGTTACTCAGGAGGCTGAGGCAAGAGAATCAGCTAAGCCCAAGAGCTGGAGGTTGCTGTGAGCTGTAACAGCACGGCACTTTACCGAGGACAACAAAGTGAGACTCTGTCTTTAAAAAAAAGAAAGAAAGAAAGAAAAGAAAATGGCCTTGAGAGTCACGGCTCTGGGCAGAGCAGGTGCTTTGTGCTTTGGGTCTCCACCCTTCGGTTTCTTCCTCGTGAGGAGGAATGCAGGACCATTTCATAGCTGGACACGCAGAAGTCAGGGAGGCCAAGGACACTAGCCTCCTGCCTCTTGGGCTGGCCAGTGCCTTGCTGCCCAGGGCTTCCCTTGGGGCTTGGATGGAGGACTCAGGGAGCTCCTACACCCACTCCATGTTGACAAGTGGCCCTTCTGACTAACCTGGGTGACCTGAAGTGAGGGGAGCTGGCCTGGAAGCCAGGGCTCCACTTGATCCCCAGAGGCTGGCTTGTCCCCACCCTGGGGGTGGGGTCCTCTGCATTGAATAACTGTTTTCTATCTTCCTTAGTGGGTACAGGCAGTCCCCAGGTTATGAACAACATAGGTTCTATACATTTGTCCTTGTTCTATACATTTGTTCAATTTGTATGTAAGTTGGAACAGGTACATTTACTTATTACCTGCAATAGCCTCCATTCATAAGTATAAGTTGTATATCAGTCAGATGTTTGTGACTCAGGTACTCACTGTAATAACCCCCTGTTCATGTGAGTTGCATATAAGTTGGATGTTTGTAACTCGGGAATGGTCTATATATGGTTAAATATCCAGGTAGTAAAAATTTAATTAACCATATTATACAAATCAGAAGATATCACTGTTATTTAAATAGACTCAAAGTGAGGCCGAGTATGGTGGCTCACACCTGTAATCCTAGCACTCTGGGAGGCTGAGGTGGGTGGATTGCCTGAGCTCAGGAGTTCAAGATTAACCTGAGCAAGAGCGAGACCCCATCTCTACTAAAAATAGAAAAATCAGTGGCGCTCATTGGCGGTGCCTGTGGCTCAAAGGAGCAGGGCACTGGCCCCATATGTTGGAGGTGGTGGGTTCAAACCCAGCCCCAGCCAAATATATCTCCAAAAAAAAAAAAAAATAGAAAAATGAGCTGGGAATGGTGGCAGGTGCCTATAGTCCCAGCTACTCAGGAGGCTGAGGCAGGAGGATCACTTGAGCCCATGGGTTTTGAGGTTCCTGTGAGCTACAATGCCAGGGTACTCAACCCAGGGTGATAGAGTGAGACTCTGTTTCAAAAAGAAAATAAATAAAAATAAATAAATAAATAGACCCAAACCAAAAACAGTCCAAATCCTACTACTGGTAGAAATGAACTTTCTTGCCAGCCACGGTGGCTCATGCCTGTGATCCCAGCACTCTGAGAGGCTGAGAAAGGTGGATCACCTGAGCTCACATGTTTGAGATCCCCCCCGCCCCCGAGCTAGAGACCCCATCTCTAAAAGTAGCTGGGCGTTGTGGTGAGCACCTGTAGTCCCAGCTATGTGGGAGGCTGAGGCAAGGGAATCACTTAAGCCAGTGGTTCTCAACCTTCCTAATGGTGCGATGTATTTTCATTGTTACAAAGGGGTCGTGACCCACAGGTTGAGAACCACTGGCTTAAGTCCAGGAGTTTGAAGTTGTTGTGAGGTATGATGCCATTGCACTTTACTGGGGGTGACAAAGTGAGACTCTGTCTCAAGAAAAAAGAAATTCTGTTAAACTTCATTTTGGTTCTGCACTTTCTAGGTGACCTGTCCTCAACTTTGTGCTTGAATAAACTCTCTTTAAGCCAGATCTCGATCCCTTGATTATTTTAGGTTGACGCCTCCATCACCAAGTTTAGCAGGACTATTTCCCTCATGGCTGAAACTTTGCCCCTCCAATAGGTGATAAAGGGCATCTGCGTTTTCATTTGCATTTCTTAATTAGCAAGGAGATGATGTGTCTTTTCAGATGTTAATTATCCATCTGCTTGTCTCTCTCTGCCCATTTTTCTGCTGAGATATTGTAGTTTTTAGATGATTCTTGAAAACCTTTATCTGTTTAAGAACACTTAATACAGAAAGGTCATTTGTCTGAACTGCTGAAAATTTCTTCCAGATCAATTATCTTATGACTTTACCATATATTTTCCTTACAGAAAATTGAACTTTTGCTTAGTAAAATGCTTTAGGGTTTTACGTCTTGTTTAGAAAGGCATTCTGCATCTGAAGGTTAAGTACATTTAAAAAAAATCTTGTGTTTTCTTCTAGTATTTTAACACAATTTAATTTTTTAAATTAAAAAGTTTTTAAAATGCTATTCTTGGGCAGCACCTGTGGCTCAAAGTAGTAGGGTGCCGGCCCTATATGCTGGAGGTGGCAGGTTCAAACCCAGCCCCAGCCAAAAACTGCCAAAAAAAAAAAAAAAAAGCTATTCTTATTTTAGAATCACTTGAGAGAACTAGGGAAAGGCTGAGATGGGTATGAATCATCCTTATAAAAATGATAAAACAAACACACCCTGCACAAAAGGGGACTTGGCTGGGTTCTGAGCATTGGAAGGTCCTTGTGCCTCTGGAATTGCCTGAGCAATGTAACAGCTGCTTATGAGGACAGGAGGAGGGGGACAGCCGCTGTCCCCTGAGGCCACCTTTGGGCCTCCCACTGACCCCACCTCCATACCAAGCCACCTCTCCCAGAGCTGCCTTCCCCTTGGTCCTGGGGCTGCCAGCTGGCAGGAGAGGGCTGGGTCCCAGCAGGGGCACCAAGTTCTCAGCCATCTCTCTCTTCCCTCTGGGACTGAAGGCTCCACTTGAGTGCAGGTTCACCCTTCCATTCTGCTTCACCCCACCTGCACCTGCCCTCTGTCAGGGCCTCCGTCAGTGGACCTCCTCTGGCCTCCTGGACTCCCTGGCACCACTGTCTCAGCAAAGGCTGGGTTTCAACCTTCTCTTCTCAGGCTTTGCTCCAGATGCTCCAGAAAGCTGCTCCAGGGTCTCTGCTCTCTCTCTCTTTTCCCTGCCCTGCAGTCTCCCCTTGTACCTGTTGGTCCCCCTGCTCCTTTCCCTCCTGCCCTCTGCCCTGGGCTCATCTGTAGGGATGGAATTCATGGGCTCCTCATCCCCTGACCAATAGTGCTGGCCTGGACCTTTCTCCGGGTTAGGTGTGGCTGAGGGTGGTGCCCTGGGCTGGTGGCTTAGACTAGTATACTGGCAGGTGGTGGTGTGAGTCCAGAGCTTACTGGAGGGGTAGGGCTGGAGATCTGGATTTGGGGGTCATGGCGCATAATACAGCACACAGGGCAGACTGACAACCTCCCCCCACTGAGGATGTGTTGGAAGTCCAGAGGATCATCAATGCACAGGCATTGAATGCGTGGGTTGGTGTCAGGGCTCTGGAAACAAACTTGGGGTGCTGACAGGGTGTCTTTGGAGGAAGGCCCCACCAAAACCTGGGATGCAAAGAAGTGTTGTTTCATTCATATTTTTAAATGTATGCACACGTGTGACATACACTAGAAACTTCAGTCCAGGTAAGTCCAAAGGAGCTGTTGGAAAATAAATAACGCTAAGGCAATGCTGAGTCAGCATCCTCTCTCTCAGTGCTGGGTCTGAAACTCAACGTGCAGAAGCTGTGGCAAGGGAGCTGGCTGGGCGTGTGGGGCAGTGTAGAGTGAGCAGGGCAGAGGAGCAGCAGGGAGGCTGAGAAGGAGCCCTGTGGGTGTGGCTGTCACTTTAGGCAGTATTTAGATAATTCCCAAGTCAATGTTGCCATCCAGAACCCCCCCCCCCCACAGCTTCAAATGGGCCCAGGCTTCCCTGGAGGTCCCAAAGCACTTCCCACAGGTCAGGGACAGTGGCTCACTGTTCCCCTAAACTTTCCCCACCCTCCCAGGGCACCAGCTGGGCAGGCAGCCTCCTGCTCCCCTTGTCTCTCTCTTGTCTCCCCTGACAGCCCTGGGCACAATAAGTCCTTGTTCACAAACTCAGTGAATCCCACTGCCCTGACCCCTCCCCCCAGGGATTTGGGGTCTCCATGCTTGTCCTCCTCTCCCTTCCCAGCTGATCCGTTACCCTACCACTTCCTTTCCACCCTGAACTATACTTTGCTCTCGGTTCTTCTCAGAGTGCCTTCCTTGTCCACCTGTCCAGGCTCCACCTGGCCTGCCTGGTGCCCCCAGTAGCCTCCTGGACTGAAATCTGCTTACAATGAGGACAGCCACAGTTCAAGCCCTTAACTTGAGTGACCCAAGCTGAAACTCAGCATGTCTTGTCTTCTGTGTGATGAAACCCCAAACCTGGCTTGTGATGCAGTGTCCCTGGAGCCCAGCCAGTGCCACCCCCCGTGCCTGTCTCTGAGAGTCCTAGGACTCCCTCGCAGGCCACCCCACTCTGGGCTGAGGACCCACCTGCTTGCCTGCCTTGCTGCACAGCCCGCAGAGCACAGACACTCCTCCTCTGTCTGTCCTCTGCACACACCTCCTCAGCAACAGGGACAGTCCCGCTTCCTGACTCATAAACCACCGGGACCACCAGTGACCTTCACCATGCTGGGTGTGCCCAGGCCTCCTTATACCCCTCCGGTCTGCCGTAACTGACCCCGCTCCCTGGGAC